TTCTCAAGCCCCATTGACTTAACATGGGATACCAAAATAGCGATTTTTGAGATTTCAAAATGCCATAACTTCCGAACCGGAAGTCGGATCAAAATCTGGTTTGCAGATTCAGATTCCTTGGACAATTCTTTTTTTATTGTGACCTATTTTTCGGATGCCATATCTCAAAAACGGTAAAAGTGATCAAAACAACTTGCCTGAGGGATTGGCTTTTTTTCCAAGGAACATGATTAAAAAAACGGAGCAAAAATATTAAAGGACGACTGAGAAAATTGAAAAAATGGCAAAGTACTGGATTTGACCTAGTTCTTGACCTTTGACCTAGATTAAACCTGATTAGACCTAGATCTGGACTTGGGCCTGAACTGGACCTTGACTTGGACCTGAACCTGGACTGGACTGGTATTTTTTCAATCTTTTCTTCACTTCTCTTGACTTTCTATAAGGCTATCATCAGATCGATTTTTCTCGAAATTTAAAAATCAGCAATTTCTTCGAAACCGGCCGAACTTGGGAAATGGCAATGATAGGTCAAATAGACATTATGGATATGCATAAAATGAATGTGGAAATGACTCAATCCAGATAGCAGTTTTAATTTGTGCAGCCAATGTTGACAGACGGACGGACCAACGGACGGACGGACGCCTGGTCGATCCCATAGGCTAAAAAACTATGGTTTTATCGCTAATAATGTTAATTTGAAAAACGGGTCCATAACATGTAATGATGACAATGAAAATGTTGAAATTAGGTACGCCAATGAAGTGAATTCAGAGCAAAAGACCCATCGACCCACTGGAATACCCACAAATAAAGTTTCATAGCCTTGCCCAAGTCGGTCTCTTTTACTTATCTTGATTTCTATTATGACGGTCTTGTACCCAAGAGAAAGCCACGTGCTTTACCAACCCAATGTTTTTGTCGGTAAAATTTGACAAATCAACGACGGCCCTACATTGTCTGAGTAGGTCTTCGTGCATTTCCATCGCGAATTCAGTTTTGATTTGAATCAACATTGAATTGCATGATTTCATTTAGATGAGTATTAATGACTGCTTACATTCAAATGTACATTTAATAACATAATATATTGTAACTCTCAAGAAACACTCATCAGATCATTGAATTTCAAGTTCTAGACGGGTAGTTTGCTTTTTTAATGCAGGTCAACCTGATAACGTTTTGATTGGTCAATCAACCTGAAGTCACACGCTGTGTCCATGTCCATATTGTCAATCAATATGGTTTTGCGATACCCTTAGGTAGCCTAGGTATTATTGGAATCTCGGAACCGCTGAGTAACTTAGCATAATATCAGTGATGATGCATTGGATTGTACAAGGTGGTAATAATTTAAGATCAGATAAGTAAATAAATACCGACTTGGGCAAGGCTACAAGTTTCAGAGCCATTAACATTCCTTGAAAGTGACAATGAGCAGCCAACAGATAGACCATCCGTAAATCTTGATGATTTTGTCAGCTCAGCTGAACGAGCCTCCAGATTCCTTGAAACAAATGACCATAATTCAAGAATAATATTATCTATTTACAATTTTTTGAAATCGTGGTAAGTGGAATCTTTCCAATTACCAATATAGCATTATTATTGTTTTTGGACACTGTGGATTAAAATATTAAAAATACACACATTCAAAATGATTCAATTGAAACCTAGCCAGTCTGTTCAATGAATCCAATCAGAACGTCTATTAATCCACATGATACATCATAATTAAATTGCTTTTTTAAAGCGGATATTTCATAACATAGCCCCAAAAATATTATAGAACGCATTGTATTTGTATTTTACTTCACACAGACATATTTGTGTATGTGAAATAATTATATTACTTGAATTTTTTATTCCCCATTACAAGGTAAACCTATGGCAAATTATACATACCTTCTCACAGCTATGAGCGAGATGATAAACTGGTCGAGTGAACTCGTTTGAGTTATCTATTCTCCGTAAAAATATCAGAGAATGTGTGTTTATAGCGTAGCTTTGGTTTTGTAAAATAATGAAGTATGATATACACGGATGAGTAAATATAGATAATTTAAACAGAAGTGCAAAATTCTTCAATTGAAAAGTACAGAGGCGGGTACTCACGAAACATTACATGTGCCTGACTGCATCCACATAGATCGACTAGCCACAGTGTTAAAAGGGTCATCACATGATATATCAATCGATTTTAAAACAGATTCAAACAACACTTTTTTATTAATCATAAAATAAAGTCACTTTTCGAAGATCTTAATATGGAAGTCAATGGAGGTATGGCCCAAGAAAAAATCTGAATAAAAGATGGCAGCACTGGATTTGATACATTTTCAGCTATTTAGAAACTATCTTATTTATAGAAGCTGAGACCCTTACCCGGGAATACAGCAATTAAATGTATTAAAATAGTATTTTCATTATGTTAAAGCAGTTATTCTTTCATCTTAATATTCACCCTTATTAATATAATGTATAGGTAGTGCATAGTTGATCAATTGACTACATGAATAAACCCAACACACGGGGGCACTTTAAAAATATTTTCATACGTTTTAGTCACTGTTTAGTTTCATTTTTTCTCTATAATTTATTTTTATTTTTTATTCCTGCATTTTAATATAATCAATATTTCCGACGGAAATTATGTTTGTAACATTGTAAGTACGGTTTGCAATGAATATGTTTAATTATTACATACAATTATATTTAATATTAATGAAAACTAATTAACGTCGGATCCTATTTGATTAATTAATTAATTCCACCATGGCCACGATTCTACCCACATCATACTGATAACCTAAATGCGAGCAGCATGAAAACAGAGTTGATGTTTTTTTCGCCCATCTGCCACCATTTAATTCCATTCACTTCATACTGTTGTATTTGTGACATACTGAAAGATACCAAAACTAAAAAAGTATCCACTCCACGGAAAATCATATCTCACCGTCCGAATGAATCTGCATTTCCACATTATTTTTCAAAAAAGAACAAAAACAATTTTAAATATATTATAGTAATGTAGTGTACAATTTTTCATGTATTTATTTAGATAATCCATTCTTCAGTCGCCATCATGTAATAGATTATATGAGCCCAGAACTCGAAGACTGAATGGGGAGTCTGAATTCAGAGACGGGGATATATAATGAGTCGATTATGCAAATTAACGAGCTGTTGTGCAAGGAAACTTTAATGAAAGTGTTTGCAAGGTTGAACGGTCAAAAATGACAATTGGAAATTTTGAGTTCACAACACCTGCATGCCTTGCTATTCCCAATGATACTATTTAGAGGTTTATACTAACAAATGCCAACTTCAACTTAAAAAATTGATGTGGGTAAGCCTTATCAACCAAAATATCAAAAATATCAACTAAAATAGCCATGCACGTGTAGTTAAAGGATTTAAGTCCTAGACTCAGTGCATTGTTGACTGAGTATCATTCGTCAAATGTCTTTTTCAAACTTTGCATGAAATGCGTAGCATGAAGTGCTAAGATTAGAAAACAACGCCTCGGTTGAACGATCAACCACAGTATTGATCGTCTTCGGCTTAATTTTTTTAACACATTGCAAACTATTTTATATATCACTTAAAATACACGAAATCACTTAAAATAAAATATTTTCAAGGAAACTTCTTGCAAGGGTCAAGTTGTCACATTGACAACCATTCAACACTTACTATTTGACCTGCATATTCCTTATGATAATAATTGAAATTTTTTATCCAATTCAAAAATTATCGAATTCAAAAAGGACGCTAGCGCTGGTGTTTTTCCAATCTTGATGACAAAAGTAGAAGCCCAAAGAAATGGTGAATGACCTTGATATTCTTATTTACTTAATGACTTGTTTAATTATTTATGATAAAATTCATCGATGTTGAAGTTTACTTGGCATGTTCGTTCGGCACCTGTAGTCATATATGTTTGCTTCAAAAATATTTTGGCCCACTCTTGATCATGTAGTTTTGGAAATTACAATGATTTTAAAGTTCAGTTCAGAATTTCAACAATAAAATTGGTAAAGATAGACTTAACATATTTAAATCATGCGAACCATATTGATGCGTATAGCTTTTCTAAAATGATTAAGAGCAGAAAGTGTACCTTAGAGAACAAAATTCTGAGCCGTTTTTATATAATTTTGAGACAACTTTTTTTGTAAAATTAAATGTTTTTGGTTCCTAGAAAATGTAAAATGGAGAGACCATAATAGATCATGAATGGATGAATCTTAGGTATACCCATACGCATAGAATTCATACCACCGTTTCAAACTGAAGGGCATAAAAATGTTAACTTTTAGAATTATCAAGCAACATAATCAATTTCAAAGCTATTGTACGTCAAAAAATAACAATAATAAACACATTCTGTACATACTTTTGAGGCCAAAGAATGAGAAAAGTATCGTCACATATTATTTCATTTTTAAAAGCCAATACATATTCATGCATTTAGCAACCCGTGTCAAAGTTTAGTTTTACAGTGTATGTGCTGCAATTCCAGATATTTGACCAAAGTCGACGAAGTTTAAACAAATTGCAGATATCTGCTAGAGTTATGCAAATATAACTGAAATTTTCCCGCTTTCATATTGTTTCAATGAATTAATTATTCTACCTGGCGACCATTTCCAAATACCATTAATATAATAAATGAATTAATGATTTTAACATCGATTTATACTTGATGTTTATTGTATGAAATACATTATGTAATGGCTACCATGGAAATATTGAAAATCCTGTTGTTTGGCATCTCGATCACCTTTCGTCAATGCAATAATTCCAGCTTAAGGTGGGGCTTATAGTATATAACAGTGCGCATGCCACATTCACACCTATCATGTGGAATAGATCCAACATATTTATTCAACTGTAACCGGTCTTCCTTAACGAACACGTTACTATGTACGACGGTATATTTGTAGGTATGTGTGTCCATAGTTACATCAATAAATGACACAATCAGGCATGTTATTCAAACTGACCTGTTCATTTATCGAGAAGGACTATATATTCGGAGGTATTTCCAAAATATGGACAAGATTCTAACATCTTTGTTCGTTATTTCTGCATCTTATTCCATTGGTAAGTAAGCAGTATATATATTTAGATGGCCTTAAACATTGATTTATATTTTCAAAATATTGCAATTTCATTGTTTTCTTAAATACGAGTACGACTCAAAAGAAATGTTGGATTTGTTGGTCCCTGGCGACTTAATTTTAGAATATATTCCACTATCACTGGTCAGTATCAAGCGAATGTAAGGGTCGTAACATTGGCATTAAAGATGGCAGTCGGTCATTGTCAATTTTGATATTTTTAGTTTTCATCGAATTAAAAACAACTTTAATTTATAGTTTACGTTATGCATCTGTAAAAGCAAAAATAGTCACCTTCCAATAGGATAGTTTCTAAATAGCAGAAAAATCAATGAAATCTCGTGCTGCCATCTTTTATTCAGCTTTTAACTCGGGCTAGAGCTCCATTCATTTACATGCTAAAATCTTGGAAAAGTGGCTTAATTTCATGATTTATCAAAGTGTGTTTGTTGAATCTGTATAAAACTTGAATGATATACCACATGATGACCCTGTTTATGTACATGATGTGATTAAACATGCAAATGTTGATTGACATACAAATAATCCACGGATTTAAAGAATTTTAGCATTGCATCTATGGACATTTGGCCCAAGTTTTTTTAAATTGTTATAGAAAATTATTCAAATTACATAACTGTGTAAATCAAAGCTATTAAAGGAGAAAACATTTCACTGAATTCAAATACGCCATTTAAAAGAAGGTAATGTAAGTCATTAGAGGTCTAATATGCAAGTCTCTTAAAATCTCACGAAAAACGAGATTTAGCGAGATTTCAAAAGCTATATGGAAACTTTACTATTGTGGTGCCTTCGCATGGTACATAAACAAATGATCGAGTTTCCATGTCGCATCTGATTTTCGCTTACAGCCGTTACCTTCGTTTGATACTAACCAGTGGCTATGAAACTATTACAATATTCAAATAGTATATTTCATCTGAAAACTGAACTGAAAATATAATTTGGCTTAGTTTTAACGGTAACCCTCAGGAATTGAATCAAAATCAGATTAACTTAACATATTATCAATGACTGCGTCTGTCAACAACTTGAGGCGCATCGTAGCCAGGATAGATAATCGACCCTGTCCCGGTCTTCCAGAAACTCAATGACATATTTTGGGACCACCTTTTGTTTATTGCAGTGAATGGACTCACGTGTTATGATTGCACAGATGCCCTTGGCTTGGTGTCCACGTGTGGAAGTAACTTCATTGGTAATGATATCAATGAAGTAAACTGTAGCACGTCCTGCTATAATACTAAAACAGAAGTGCAGGTCCTTGGAGGTAACACCTTTTGAATTTTAGTGCTTATGAACAAGCTTTAACCCGATTTATCCAAAACTCTATAATCATTCATTTTGATACGCATCACATCTTTCTGCCTTCTTCGAGGAATGAATCAATAGAAGACCATGATTTCTCATGATTAAGGATAATTGTTGCTATAATCTTAATGAGCAAGTACTTCCGGTAAAAGTAAACTTAAAAATGAGTTGTCATTAGAATATTAAGAAAAATGTTACAACATCAGATTATTTTTTCCGGAAACCAAGACCTTCTACAAGGAACGTCCTGAAAGACAATGTATACACGGTATAGTAGGCATTGATAGTAAAGCTATCATTGTAGGAATTTCAATGTACTTTCAGCTTCAACGATAGTTTATACTCGTGGCTGCGATTCAACTACACATAACATGGTTTGTGAAGAGACTGGGGGATTCGTTTTCGGTACGGGCTCTGTTATAAATACGTGCCACTGCTCAACAGACCTGTGCAATAATGCTCTTTTCAATACTGGATCAGTACTCATTACGATCTGTGCGTTCATCATGACCAAGCTCTAGAATCAACTATTGAGAGACAGTTATTAATTCAAATGCGTGTCCATGACGTGCCTACTACTTTGGGGACAAGCATACTTAATGACATTCAGGTTAATGAGCTAGATAATTACTCATTCTAGGCGCTGTAACTTATGCCTTGGTCACATTTGCTCCGATGTTCACTACGGCGCCCGGCCGATTGAGTATTTTGTTCACAATTGAATACAATATTGAACAAAACAATCAATCGGCCGGGCGCCAGCCGATGGATCAGAGCAAATGTGACCCAGGCATTACACATTTTCGCCTTCGACTTGATATAAAGAGGTAGTGTAGCAACTGAAACCCTTGTGAATCAAAGATGGACGCTCTGCGATTTAGCAACACTGTCCAATGTAGCATCTTCTGAGAAATGTGATTATGCTGGGATAAGGTTGAAACTTGATCTGATTGCAACAATTTTGTACACATATGATTGATTGATCTTGATACGAATGTTTATATGAATGGAATAAATTGGTGGAATCGATTATAAGATTGACTTTATTGTTGTAACCGTTGTGAATTATTTGTTTAATTACACATTATGAAACAGTTTAGAAATGAACTAAATGAACTACCTTAATTTTTTTTCTTTTTTCAAACGAGTGAAAAAGTCATCCAGATCTAACAAGTCTGAGGTAGCGTTGGTGAATGCAACTGCCGGCTGCCGGTTTGATTGCAAGTATGACCAACCCATCTAAATATGAATAGTTTCCGCCGTACATCCCGATATAAAAAAAAACCGATCGTTGACCTAAACGGTTTAATCTACCTATTTTACCCCCCTATCACACCAAACTAGTTCTTACCCGTTCTTGCCAGTCCTACGAAAACGTCGTAAAACGGGCTCAATCTGGCTGTGGTCGGGAAATATGTCTGAAATAATTAGCTTCTTCGTTCTTAAACAGTCTTCAATACGTCCATCTCGTTCGCAGTTCGTTCAGGTCGCACCACGTCGGTGTGCAACGTCGCAGAACGCGTCTCTTAGTCTAGAAGGTCATCAAGACCTGATTACAGAACGGTATGGTCGCCATCGAATTTTGAATCGATTCAAAATTCTAAAATCACATTCCCGTCTGAGAACGTTCATAAAGTTCGTAAATAGACCTTAGAAAGTTTCAGCTACGTTCATTCCGTTCGCATACGGTTTAAAACCAGTTTTGAAGAACGCAGTGGCAACTTGTTGGTGTGATAGCTATATTTTTGCTAACTCGTTCATTAGCAGTGTTAAATACGTTCTTAATCAGTTTAAACCCGTTTGCAATTAGTTCTACCTCGTTCTCAACACGTCCTCAGACAGTTCAACTCGTTGTTAAAACGTCCCTAGTAGGATTGAAGTACGACGGTTCCGTTCGTAGTACGTCCAGCTCGTCGTTAGTACGTTGTCACTCGTTCTAATTGTAGAACGTATCGACCACGAGAACATTTTGAGCATGTTCTAAGTTCTAGAGCACCTACCCGTTCGAGTACGTTCGATGACGTTTGTAAATAGATCCCAAACGGTTCTTAGTAGGTCCAGTCCGTTCGTACACAGTTGAAGCCCGTTTTCGAGAACGTAGTGAGAACTAGTTTGGTGTGATAGTAGGGTAACGCCGACTTATTCGCTAATTCAACAGAGCAGCTTTATTATAATCGACCAATCGAAATCTGTATCGTTACCGATTTCAGACAGTCAAATGTTGAATTGTAACTGTTTTTTGAGAATTCAGAATACAGTTGCACATGTATCCTGGGGGTAATGCCGATGCATAACCTCTAGGAAAAGTACTCATAGAGATGATTAAATATTTTTGACTGAGACAGGAAATTTGAAAACACATTCCCAACATGTTCTCTCTGAAATGTTGTTCTGTTTTTCAGTCCTTTTGAAACTTGTCCTTTTTGTTGCATCAGTATGTTGCATTTTTATGCAGTTATCCTCTCTAAAGGAAAATTGCATTCCTTCAGAGGTTTGAAAGATATCCATTATGGGTGACCGAAATTAAGCTGAAAACAATGGATCGCGTGGGTTTTCCTATGGGAAAACAACATGGGAAATATTGTTTTACGCTTAAAGAAATGCATTTTTCCTATTTAGAGGTTAAATGTGTGTCAAAACACAACATATGATACATCAAACATTGAAATCTGTCTGAAATATGTTGCGATACTTTCCGTGCTCTTTTGCTAAGACCTAAAGTCCATTATGAAATCGCAACCTCGAGAACGAACAGAAACCACACGTGTAACTTCTAATTGTCTTCTAAGAAAAACAATTCATCAAATATCAAACTCCAGCTCAACTACTTTTCTGGATACTGGATATATTCTGGATACAATAACAATTTTGAAACCAGACTAAATGTAAGATTATGTCGTCATTCTTTGAATATTTACAGGTAAACATTTAAAAATCGTGCAGGAATAGCCCCAACTAAGCATGTTAAAATGCATAACAAGTTATCAAATAAGCTATGAAACACATCAAATTGGTAAGTACCGTGTATTCTTGACTGTTTTAAACTATTATAATGGTCATGTGAATTGTGTGATCTCATAATGGATGAGTGTAATGCTTCATTAGAAGTGATGTTAGACACAACAACTGTTTTGTCAGATATTCCAAGAAAAGTCAATTTTCCACTTTAGTCCATCTTAAATAAATAATAGACCGGTATATGGTGTAATTATGTTGGTATCTTTGCACCATATTTGTTTAAGATCATATTTAGTATGAGCAAAGGATTTTTCGAACTAAACTTGACTTTTTATCAGTGAGAATATTCTTCTTCTGATGATCCCTGCATCTATGCATTATCTTACTCAGTCATTTCTGATCATTAAGCTTTGATTCTCAGAGTCTGGTATCACATCTAATGAAGCATGTAAGCATCCCCTATGGCACCACACAATCCACATGATCGATTTATTTTATAGTAAAAGCATTTAACAACATATTCAAGTTAACATTTTAATATGTTTGGTAATTTATGAGAGTTTATTATGTATATAAACAAGGTTAATTAAGATCATTCTCTCAATTATTTTTATTTGCCCCGGGTGCCTTGATTTCCGGTTACTATGGCAACCATTACTTATCTAATATAGCTGTTATACCAAATATTTTTTGATAGATTAATACAGAATTCTATACTGCAGATTCTAAGAAAATTTCATTAGAATATATTGAAAAATAAAAAAATTAGAGAGATATTATGAGAACTTTATGATATACCCTCGTATGTACTAAGAATATGCACAACAGAATTTGCTTGACCTAATCATCTTGCAAATCCAAATAATTCATTAAAATCCTCGGGAGTGGTAATTGAAAGACACTTGTATGTAGCGGGTGCCATGCCGTCTTGATTGCGTTGCGAATTACAACTCTGGCGAGATGCAACAACTCTGGTGGATTATGTGTACGATACGGGGATACACGTTCGTAGAAGCTCTGATGTACCCACATTCTATCATCGGAACTGTTTGTACTCTTTACTCCAATCATGGGTGCTGGATTTAATATATTTTCCAATGCTTTCGAATTCGTAATAGGAAGTGTTGGCATAACGCGGCAGAAGTAAGCGAGACATCGTAGTAAGTTACGTTCCCTTGATGATTCTCGACGTACTCTTATAGGATTAGATTGTTGTAAGAACCGCATACTCGGATGTGCGTTATTGAAGTCGAACACAAGGCCCATTCCATTCATTTGGATAATGATATTTTCAAGGGGACACTTCGGAAATAGATGTTGGTGTTCACCAAAAGTACGCAACGGATCTGCACCGTGTCGCAAAAGGAGCAGAACCATATCAGAATGAACTTTTCGGCATGCAATAAGAAGTGGGGTTGTAAGATGTTCACTAAAAACTACTTTCACAGGCGCATCAACGAACGCAACAAGTTCAAAATGTCTACGTCTTTTGTATCTCTTAACAGGGACATCACTTGCGTGGTACAGTATATAATTCAGGATATCCAAATTGTTTGAACGTCTCTGGCTCTTGGTCTGCTGGAGACTAGAATCATACAATACATTTCTTTGGTGCTGGGATTCTGGTATATCGCCCAATAGGATCAGGTTCTGATTATTAAACCACATCGCAACATTCCCTTGTTCCACGATAGATGTGGCAACAAGGGATCTTACAAGAGGCGTATTGTCGACATTGTATTTGAAGCAAACGTGCGCAGCCATAAATAAAACATTTTCCTTTGATGCGACATCTTTTGTAGACGTAAAAAACGATAATCCATCCTTCGCAATTCGTTCAGCGACTCCACGGTAATTACCATGATCACGCACTAAACTGACTAAACTGTCCCGACATTTAAACGCATGTTCGTCATTCAGAAAGGCTCCCTGGCCATATTTTGTTTGTAGGATTGTAAAAATATTCTTAGATGTTGTCATATTTTGTTTCCATGTTATTTTCTTGTATTATCATGTTGCTACTGACAGCCTCTTCTATTGTCTAATTTAATTTGTGACATCATAGATATATTTTTATTTTGATGCAATGATGCGATGAAACATTTTACTGATCATATACATATATGATTTACAATAATTTCCTAAACTGGAATTGGAAAACCCAAACGTTACAAAACATGCTCTACTTCAGAACACTTATAGTAAAATAAAACAAAGACATGTGCGATATCTTGCGTAGTGTAAAGATTTATTGCATTTCGTGATAATAATTTGACTGTCATCTTCTTTTAACATTTCGTTAAAAACAAAATCTCAAAACGCAGGTCTCAAAGAAACCTGTTTGTCAGGTTTTTATAGAAAAAAGTAACTTCACTTGGCAACTAATTATCAATATTACTGTGTCATGTTAATTGTAAAATGTTGTTAACATGTTGTTTAATCTGACGATCCATTGGAGTTACAACTGACCACTGCAAGAGGCAACTGTGAAATAACTTCTTAATTGGCATCTATATTTTAAGGTTTTGTACTTCCGATAACCGATGTAAATACATAAGCATTTGTACCAAAGAGAGACTTACGAAAAGGTGTTAAAACAGTTAGTAAAAGGGAAGAAGGAAAGAAGTCAACATCGATGCAATGATGAATTGTATAAACTCAATGTTTCGTACGTTTTCTGCTAATGCATGTGAAACTGTTCCTATGGTTGTCCATTATCCATTCTGGTTCACGATTATGGTGAACATTATCGTCATCATTTTCATCAAACATTTAGTCATTTGTATCTAGATGGTGTCGAGGTTCACTCTTCTGGTTCTTGTAGAGGATCCTCAGAGGGTTCCTTTTGTGCTGGTTTATTACTGAACCCAAACAATCCAATGAACCTTCCCCATATGAAATCCACAATTTCATAGTCGTTCGATTGCAGCGACGAATCCTCTTTGACTTTCGAGAAAGCTTCCCCAATTATAGTCAAAAACATGCCCATCAAACCAATATAAACAATACCAACGAATAGGAAAAAGAAAATAGGTCCATAAAACGGATTTGCATCTCGGAATTCGTAGAAATCGAAGGATCCCAAAGAAAATGCAAACAATGCTTCAATGCATCCAACAAAAGTGCCGTAATTTGGTAGCTGCGTACCAAAGAGGGTATAGCCCCACAAGCAGAATGCGAAAAAGTAGATGAAAAACGTGATACAGAACATCTTCAAGTCCTTGACGGCCAGTTTGACGGTGTCTCCGAGCATACACATATTTTTGTTAAACTGAAGCATTTTGATGAACTTCAGAGTAGAGAAGAAGACTATGATACCAACAACCGCCTGGTAAAGTTCATCCCAAGCAGCAATGGACACAAAATTCACATAGTCCTCTAAAATAAGAAAAGGTGTATTAATGAAATTAGCAAAATTTTACAAACAATCATTCTACACAGATTTTCAATTTAGTATTTCAGGTAAATTGTATTTCTAACTTAAAAAAACTTTTAAAATCGGCAAACTGGCGTTTTTAATATGTAAACGTTAGGCACTCTGGCGATATAATATAATAATATCCAATAAAAATACAGAACTTGTAGCCATCACTCGTAACTTACTTTTCCCACTTTCAAGCAGGGCAGACATTGCCAAATTGCCCATTACAGTCTTCATTGCATACATCGCTATGGCAACAATAGATGACACCAGCGTTCCAAATTCGAGAAAGTTCCAGAAATCCTTGAAATATTTCAGCTTTTCCTTTCTGAGAAGTTTAATCATATGGTAGATGAAGTATGTTACAAACACAAGGAAAACGATATTGAAGAAAAGGACTACAACTCCCCAGCTCCCCACAAAACCATAGAGTCTGAACACCTGGATAGAAATGCAAAAATATCATGAACGCATTTTTTCAGTTTTGACTGTGAACACAGCCAGGGTTGTATCCAGGATCAAAAGACGAACAAATGTAATAGGCAAGGCAAAGGCTAAATGAGGTATATTTACTAAACTATCTTTGAACTTCATTTCCATAATCTTAAATAATATATTTCTTGTTGCCTCGCTTGCCTCACGTATGGGTTCGCCCATGATAGCCTTATACTGGTACAAATAGGAACTTACAAGTCTGAATCTATAAAGTACTACGAATTTTTCAAAACCTATCACACAAGTTCTACCTTGATTTCACTTCTTGGTATGGCGGCCCCTGTGCTCATGAACTCAACCAGCAGTATGACCGAGGCGAACAGATTCACATTAGCATTGTAAACAGTGAATTCAACAAAGACCGCTCTTGTGTTCACATCTACCCATTCTTTCTCTTCAAGTTCGTCAATAACCTTGTGAGATCTCTCGGCGGTGAGTCCTGTAAAATGAATTAAATATTACTTTTGTAGGAGACGAAAAATGGTTGTTGTGTCCCCACAAGAATTTGAAGTATTGTTATGTATAGCCTACAACTTTTTTGTGAACGGCAGTCGGCGTTCGACGGTTGGTGTTCGGCGTCAGGTGGTGGCATTTTGCATATTAATGCCTTGTTGATATTGTAAACGAGATTTTATGTAAGCTAATGGATAGATTTCTTTTCATATTTTGCGGAATTTTATATTTATATTTTATAATCCTGTGTATATCGTGTCATAACTGCTTCATCATTCATTCATTAATTCCAGTGGCTAAACTGAGACTTCAAATGTTGATATATTACCTAGATTATGGACGTATCCACCTCCCTTGTACACATGGAGTGTGCCCATATAAGGAGCATTGCGAAGACGAACTGAATTCTGGTACACCCAAGGTGTATCTTCCCTGTCCTCTAGCTCTTCTGTCTGTTCATCGGTGAAGTTCTCAGGGGGCTTCCAACCCGGAAGGTAGGCTTTGGTGTCGTCATCCGTCCATGAATAAGAGTCTCGACAATGGTGAATCACTGATCTGAAGTTTTTGTCAATAACACAGGTGTCTGCAAGAATATATCGGAAAAGGCTTGGACCGATTTTTACAATGTCGTGTATATAGTACTGCAAATGTTGTTGGTGCATATTGGACATAGCAGGTACATCGAGTATCCAAGGATGACTGTTTGTAATACCCTGCGATGGTAGCTCCATATTTGTGTAAATAAGATACTGTTATCTGGCACTTCAACGGATATAATTACATATATGCCATTTTGTATTTCGGAATGACTACCTTGGAAAATTTTACGACCTAATATCTCTATTTAGGGACCTTTTCATGTTCTAATTACAAAATAACTTACCATCTTTGACTCTTGCCTGTCGGATCCTTGCCACTCCAACCCTGAACGTCTCTCGATCTCCCATAGCAATAGATTCCCGCCATGTGAGGCGTCTGTCATTGTACCACTTTTCGGCAAACAATCCAGGCACCAATGTTTTGCGACACCAACTCCAAAACTGGTCAGGTCGACTTATCTGAGAAAAAATTATGAGTGCATTTACCGCCACAACCATACACCTCATTCATTCACTATGTTAAAATAAATATAAATCACGGTAATTTAACTGATTACACTAGGGGAACCACCTATACTTACCCCAGTTAAGTCAGAGCCAGTATCTACGAATTGGTTTTTGAGAACGTTGGCATACTCAAATCCAGCCATGCTTTTAGCTTGGTATGACAAGAAGAAAAGAACCAGTAAAAAGACAGCATAAACCACACACTCCTTCAGAATCGCTTCCATCTTCATTTCATTGAGTCGTTTCTGTCTGGCTTTTTCCAGAGCTTTAGTATCGGGTGGTTTAACCTCCGCTGCTGCCATTTTGCGCCTCTGAATCAACTCTAGAAAACATTATTACTTTTGAGAATGTCTGTACATATTTTTAAGTGTTTTGGAACTCGTCTAGAGCTTTCAATAATTGACGTTCAACTGACGATTTGAGACAAGTGTGATAATGAGTTACAATCCTTTACAAAACCTCTGGATTTCGGGCATGATTCCAATTTGTCTGAAAAATAATAGATCAAGAAACAACACTCGCTGGAATCATAATAGACTTTACCTTCTATGCGTGATTGGTTGAGCTTGCTCTCATCATTGGAAAATTCCTCCAAAGGATTGTTGTCAAAGGTTTCATCATCCTCACCAAGATCGGGCTTTTTCAGTATGCAGGCTAGGAAAGCAGCCAGCAGGAATACCTGCAACATCATACAAGTACATACAAGTATGGTGTGGTTAACATTTTTGCAAATGACCAGCTACATTCTCCTTTTGATGGTGTGATTCGTGGAAATATGAGACAATCGGGTAATAAAAACTTTACTTCTCAGACCTCATGGAATTTTCATCTTCTGGCATTGCCAAGGAATACGCATAACAGTCCGTTTACCCATCAAAATATATGTGATACAAACAATTTGAATAAGAATGTTATCTGATTTGATCTTTCATGTCAAAAATATTGGAACTTTGCCAAGTTGAAGCTTTTTCCGAGAAAAACTGAAATTCGTAATACAGGTACACATTAAGTGATTTAATACCTTGATTGGTTGTACCACAATAACGTTTTGAAAGAATGAAAGAAGAAATGTCGTAAGCCACTCTTCCGCCTTCTCTTTGCCCCATTCTAAACTATAGAGAATAGTGAAGAACGCCGATCCGGCACAACTCAGGAAGCAAACTACAAAAATAGACATTGAATTTACATTTATCCAAATAAAGTTAGTAGTTATATATATTTCGTAGTTCAAAGATGAATTATAATGTCAAAATGTCTCAAACTAAATTCTGTTCACTTTCTTTCAAATTCATATCCGAAACTCATGCGAAGGGGGCTGTACATATGAGCCCAGCCTTTTTAAAAATATTCAACGAATAACTTTTCAAACTTAGGGGATTTAGCTAGCTTGCCCGACAATAAATCTTGGTTAAGTGCACTTACCGGCCCAAGCAATGTAGACACACCACCATGGAAACAAAAAAGATTTTTTCTTCCGCTTTTTCCCCGCAATTTCGGCAGCAGCATCTTTCTCATTGTAGTCATCTTCATATTTCTTCTGTTGGTGCACGGTAACTATCTTATGCAGCGCGTCCTTGAACCTTGTGAACTTTGATTGCTTAAGCTTAATCGAAGAGCCTGCCCAAAGTGAGCTGTCTTTGTCCTTGCTGAGGGTCTTCCATTTGAACATCTTTGTTTTTCTTTGGTTCGATTGCATTATGTTATTATTTCGAGGTTTGCATTTGCGGAAGAATGTCATTAGAATCAAGTTTGGTGGAAATACAATAAATGTACTCACTAGGCTTACCCATAATTGTGATAGCGTAAAGGAAAATGGGCCCAGTTTCAAAGCACTTTTATTCTCAACCTTTTCCTCTGATTTGAAGAACATGGCGTTTGTGATCATAGTGAGAAACAGTAATGATAGACAGCAAGAGAGACGCTGTGCTCTCGTAAAACCACTTCTCGTGGGACGCGAGAAGACAGATACCCAAAGATGGTCGTTACTCAGCTTCTTCCTGACTGAAGTGCCAAATAAATGTTTGAAATCTACAAGGTCCTCTAAGCCAGCAACAGGGACTATTCTCTCTACTTGGCCATCATCCTCCTCAACAGCCAACCAACGGTTACACAGGAAGAAATACCTAATAACAAAATCACAAATGTAGACACAAAGGAGGTAGCCTATAAGGAGACTAAGTCACCAGTTACTAGATGTTGGTACATACGCTTATATTCACTGTCACCTTTGATGTTCTCTAATTTTAAATTGTATTGTATTGGTCATACTGTACGTACTTGTCTCCAGTTTGTAAGTCAACGAGCTGCACCTGTTCACAATACCACCCTTTGAACTTCCCTCTGCCTGAGTTGTCATGCCAGATTCTTAGGAATGTCATTGGTCCGATGCATTTATCAGTACTCAGGACATAGTTACGTATGCTTCCGCGAGTAAAATGCTGTAAATAAGATTCGAGTAGACTTCAAATCGAGAACTTGTTGAATATATTTAATAGAAAAACGGGCATTTTCTTGAAACCATATGATCTGATCTGTATAATTTTTCATTTTGTTATATTGACAATGGTCACATTTTACCTTTTTCTCTCCGTCGAACAAGCGGCGGACGCCTGTGTCGCCTTCATCTCCTGATAGGATAAAACTAATCTTTGACTTGGTGTCAGCATCGCGTTTAATGCCCGTGTAGACAATCATCTGATAATGGTACTGATCTGTTGGAATGTTGTCTTCTAAAGGCTTGGCTCCCCACTGTGACAACAGTTAAGTTTGTTATACATTTAATCGAAACTATTTGCAAAGAAGAACATGCTCTAGCTGTGCGTTTTGCTGTTGGTGCGGATGATTCTTTCTTTATTGCTTTTACAGCCATGGTTTGTTCATTGATTGATACTTTATATTTTTGTTATGCATTGAGGAAACAATCTTCCCCCGGGTCTGTACCATATTCGAGTCCACAAAGTGTTTACTGTAGTTACTACAATGTTTGATCCGTGTGTCTTCCCTGACTGTATACACGGTGTATAACCCAAACGCTCCTACATGCACGACGGAGCGTTTCATTTACGCGGAAACACTCCGGAGCGAAATAAAACGGCAGCTAATGAAGATTCCACTATGACCGTAAGTATTGTTTCTCTCGTTTCTCTTACATATCATATGTTATGGTGAAATATTATGTACCATTCGATGAACAATACCGTGGGCAAAGATCTTATCTATTCAACTTCTGGTGGTAAACTGTTATTTGCTTGATCAAAGCTCCGTAGTGTATATCGAACGAATCTGAAGATGACGATTTGACCACAAATTACGAATTAAACTAGTATTTCTATGAAAACGTTAATCTTTCTGTTAAAGTAGTAGATCACAAACTCGTATATTCTCATTTTCTAAAATCCCAGTCCAAATCCATTACTTGTTCTCGAGAAATCAATTGTTTTCCTCGAAACGCTCCGTCGATTTAGAACACAATTTTAGAAACGCTCTTACCATTTTGTTTTGATATCATTTTCAGATTATTAGAGAAGAGTTCCGAATCGAATTTATCTCTCAAAAACGTGTTGTACTTGTCAGGCAAATTGAAACATCTGAACCTGGTGGTGCTAAACGTGCAACTAGCTGATCTAAGCCTACATTACATGATGTCATGCCTACATGTGTGCTAAATCATAAAACTATAGAAAAAACGAAACTTTATATGTGAATTAATCTTTCTTCTTTTGATGCCAAGGGGTATAATAGATCTTTTCTTTCTCTTCCTGAAAAGGAAAGGCAAGCTATTTCCTAAACTGATCTACACTACCGGAGCGTTTCCAGTTCACTGTGTTAACCAGATCGGAGCGTTTCTTGAATATGAGAATGTCATCATTTTTAAGACTGGATTTTCGGTCATCAAATCACTATTACGATAATGTATGGTGCGTTGAAGCATTGGAATTTGACTAAAATATACGTTGGTGCTCTAATCTTGGCTCAACTAATCACATGTATCGATAAAAAGGGGTTTTGACCGGTAGAATGACAAATACGTTTTTGAATTTTCGTAACTATACTGCTTCGTACAGCTTTTCCTAATTGCTTCAAACGTCAACAGCCAGCCAAGTACAACATGAATATCACACCCATCGAATGGTATACTCGAAATATGTAACTCATACCTCTTATTCCCATTATTGGGGAAATCGTAAGACGGCTCATCATTCCCGCCAGCCAGTTTTCCTACTCCGGAGCGTTTCTTTGTTTAATTTCAGCAATGAAACGCTCCGTCGTGCATGTCGGAGCGTTTGGGTTATACACCGTGGTATAGTAGTATGTAATAATATTCATATCATGTAAACGTTTACCTTAATTAAATCCTGTTTGTCTTTTCTCCTGCACCAAACGAGAGCTATGAAATACAATCCCAATACAGAAATAACGACAGAGAAGACCGCCGCATTCTCACCGAGTTTTGCAAATTTGGCGAAGACAGTGCTAAAGTCGATGCTGTTAGGGGGTACCACGAAGTCGCCTCCAAAATTGGTGAGATGAGTGCAAAGGCACTGAGTTTTCTCAATAGTAGTTATAGGCCCGACCTGGAAACAAAACAAACATTAAACATGTAAAAATTAACTGCGATCAGAATACTGATCTTGATTTAAAAATACAACTTACTATAATTGTTTTGAACTGAAGACATGCAATGCAATTTATTTTACTCCTCTATTAAAATATCGAGACTCCCCCCACCTTTTGCAAACCATTATCACTACGACGTCGTTGTAACATTATCTCCATGATCTGTAGCTTATAGTTTCGAAGTTAGAAACTTTGCACTTACTATAATCTCAATTAAAAGTAAAATTATTTGAGTTTAGCCTACCATACATCCATCTCCTGCCCATGTCTGATTTTCCTCATTCCAATATCTACAGCCAGAGGTGAACGTGCGGAATGTATATGTGTGGTTCCACGACTCCTCTGCGAAGTTAACTTTGGTCGCTGAAACAGTAATTACTTCTTTGAATGTGATGTACTCGTATGTGTTTTATCTCATCGTTACGACTTGTATATATCCATTCAATCTTAATGTTTAATTTAGAGTGTTACATTAGGCCTGAATCTACCAGTCGGCGGCACGTGATTTTATTTTCTGGAATTATGAATTTTCAGTAAAAGTACAAATGTAGAATTTACCTGCTAATTTTATTCCAATGTAATATGTTCCGTTTAGGGCAGTCAAGTTACTTGGCGCAAATACAGTGTGTCTCAATACATCAAGCTTTGATTCATCCTTTGTGTTGAACACCTCATCACTTGGTATATGGGTCTTATAATCAAAGTAAGTCTCATTTGGAAATATTCCGTATGCCATGTATACGTCATATTCGTCATCTTCCGTCATTGGGTAGATGATGACGTGGAGAGAAGAGCCATTTCTTGGCAGGGTCACGCTGTGATGATTCATCTTTAGTTTGTCCTTCTCTGGTCCTGTCCTGTATGTCGTAAATGTGTAGTTTAAAGCCTCCGGGACAAGGTCAGGTTTACCTGTTACAATAAGGAATTGAACAATACATATCTTTTCTTCATTTCAACTGCGTAACTTCTGATTGGGTTTGGAGGCAAAGCCTCACGAGTAACCCGGATATAACATTAGCAAAAACCGAAATTCATTCACGTGCTTTTCTCGAAGAATATCGCAACCTTTGTGCCCACATCTAGGTAAACTACACCTTTTCGCCATTTAAGGAGGGGATCAATTTCTGGATTAAACCCCGCGTTTTGCCCATTTACGGAAAATGCACTTGGTGATTGTTGCTGCTGTACAGTATTTCGTAGAAATTCGAACTGAGTTGAAATGCGTTTCACTCAATATTCTTCTCTCGATTACTCATATAGTCGATAGATGAATCTGCACCAAAGTTAAGATATGGACTGTAAAGATCTCACCAATGTGTTGATGAGCGGCTTTATTCATTCATATTGGCAGGAATTTTATCGTAAAATTGAAATATTTTAGGAAGGTTTTTGATTTTAATTAATTCCCCGAGTCAGTTAGCCAGGGTGTTGTCTGCGACAGACTGCTGGATGGAGTGTGCAGTGGGAAGTTGTTTGTTAACGTAAAAATTCTGTAATCAGGTAAATTCAGACGATAAATGACAAATGTGTAAATACGCCTATTATGATCCAATACGAAGTTATTGAAAAAAAGTGCGGGCGCCCAACACTCGGAATGATCTTTTTCAAACATTGAGCATATTTCAAGGCTTCTAATAATCATCCTGCAAAATGTTTTCATCAGAATATAGAAAATAGTAAATGGCTAGTAATTATGTTAATAAATCACATATTCGGGTGATCAATAAAACGTCATTTTAGGAAGTTATCTATTTAAAAGTTCAAATCAATTACCATTATATTTTGTAAGTCTTACCATTAATGAACATTTCGATTGGCTCTGACATGTTCTCTTTCTTCATTTCAGTACCATTGGGATAGGTGAACGAGATGCTTAAAACGCCTGATTCTGGAGCTGGCGTTTCTGTATCCCAATTGTAGATGTTGTTATTCGATGCAAGGAACTGCAAATTAGGAAACAGCTATGAAATACAGTAGAAGAAATTCAATAAAGTTACAGGATGTCTATTTTGGCTTTTCTACCGATCTGACGATGAATACTTGTATAAGGTATTACAATACCTTAGCACCCGGCGCCTCGCCGTCTTCAGAACCAAGTTCACTCCCAGGCATACTGAAACCTCCCACGTCAGACTCCATAGCAGCTGGTTCTAAAATGAATACAAGAGAGATACAATTCCCCGGTACCAAATATCCAAAAGAAAATTCTGTTACTCAAGAATCATAAGTCAGGTTGTAACAGCATCGAATAAGCCTCTGGACAAACTATTTGATCCTGAATTTTTTAGCTTAAAGCATTGGGAATGTTTTCATTGATCTATTTGTTGATGATTCCTGAAATTCGTTTGGATTATTCCAGACTCTGACCTACAATATCATACCGATGATACAATTTATCAGATAAAAAGGCTCAATACCTGATGCATTTGGTGATACTTTGGACACCTGTAGTTCAAGAGATGAGGACTTCAATCCCATGGAAGCATTGTTGTCCAGTTTGCCAACTATGACATCACTTACATCGCTGGTGGCTTTTACAGAGTTCTCAGTTGTAGATTTGGCCAAACTGCGCGCTATTTCCTCTCGTTTTGCACGCGCAGCTTTGAGTTCCAAAAGTTTATCTATTCTCACTTCAGGTTGTGAGTAAAGACATTCTTCAATATAGTTCATAATCACCTAAATAAATGAAATAAAATTTTGTGAATAATGAGAAAAACATCCCTGGAAAATACAACGTTTATAGTTTAGTCGCAGCACTTACTGTCGACGTTTCATCCACTAAAAAGCTGACTTCATCTTCATTACACAAATCACAGATGGTCTTTTCCTGGTCATCTGTTATGTCTGTTATCGTATAGTCCACCTCACAAATCTCCACCATTTGTTCCTCGATGTTTTCTTCCTCTGCTTCTTCCAGACTCCTGCGACGTCTGCGTCTCTTGGATGAGTTGGGTTCTGGTTCCTGCTCCGGGAGAATATTACTAGCTGTATTCAACATGGCTGCAAAAAATCGAAATGGCTTCATTTTTTGCGATTCCTCTCTATAGTATACTTATATTCTCAACATACCAGCTTTAAAGATGAATCTGATGCTAGTGTGATGGGTTGTGTTTAATTTTGATTGTATTTCTAAGTAACCTACCACCAGCAAGATTAGTGATTGTGCCCATGGGTTCAGTAGCAAACTTCTTGGCTGATGAACCGAGTTTACCAAGTGCAGCTCCCGCAGATGACTAGAAACGAAGCATCAACCATTTAAAAACAGAGATTCAAAAAGTTTCATCAAATTAAGGTCGATATGCCGTATTTGGAACTGTTATTGAAATTGCAGGGAATGTCAATGAAACGTTTGACCCAGCTTACTTTACTTTCAGCAGTTACTTCATCTTTAGCGGCAGTGATACCCTCCAATGCACTTGCTGTTGCAGCCGCCTGGTCTGGCTTATCAATGTTGTCAGCCACGTTTTCCAAAGCATTCAATAGTTTAGCACGCATCTGAAAAATAACCGTTTTATTGCTTGTCAATATCTTTACTTTACATGCCATATATGGAATTTTATCAATTGAAATTAATAATTGAATTATTCCTTGTTAATTTTGTGAAGTTTGTAAGTGCTATGATTTTGGTACCTGAGTTCTGGCAGCTTTTGCATCATCTGCGCTTTGATTTCCACCCTGCAAAAAAGTTCATATTCAGTAAAAGCATAAAATTACAAATCTTTCTTGAATAATATAATGATGTATCAATACTAATAATATGTTTAGTTTGGTACATGCAGTTAGCCTAGATAGATTACTTACCGATCCCGCGGCTTGTATCTGATTGGCAGCCATCCCAATTACCATGAGAGCCCCGGATGTGTCACCGCTCGCAAGTAGTGCATCAATGTTACTCAACATATCATCGGTGTTGTTTGTGGCAAGGACTCTAAAACTGACAGAATCGTCAGCTTGCCGATTATCTTTGGACAGTATGAGCTTGAATGTATAAACCTGCATGCTCATTGATCCAGCAGTGAATCTTATAATTCCAGGCTCTGTGAAGATTGGAGTTGGTGGGGAACTGAAACAACCCATATCCCATAAACTTACTGTTTCATTGTGGATTTCTCTCGCTTGCTCTTTTAGATCAATCAGCCTTGAACTTTCCAGTAGCTCAGTTTTCTCCTCGGGAAAGCAGAAAACATCAAACTTTAAAAGTGGATCGTTTGCTCCAAGACTAACATCCGGGTCATGCGAGGAGGTCATGTCAAGATCAATGTTCCCAAATATGGCAACTGTCTGAACTTCACCAGACCCTTCAACATTCGCCACAATTGGAGTTTTAACCATGTCCACATATAGTTGTTTACTTGTTGATTTTAGCGGCATATCAGTTTGTGCTACACTCACTTGAACTTTGTACTTGCCATATTCTAAAGAACGCGCTGGGATAACGTGGATTGGGTCTTCTGACTCTACTGTACACACTTCGTTTACTGGACGTTCAATCACATTTCCAAAATCATCGTCGATGAACCTCGTCACTTTCCATGTATATTCCGGCATACTGGTACCACACATAGGGACAGTTTGTAATGCAATGGGCAAGTCTAGTGACCTCATCTGTACGATAGGTTGGTCTCGGTTTGTTCTTATATTCCTGAATGCAACTATTGGATTTCTACACGCCGGGTCATCATTGGGATGTTCAACCATAATTGGTGGACACAAAGTGCTTTGAGCGGTGCTAAACTTGTTTCTAGCGTCAACTTGCACTGTGTATCTACCGGGATTTCTGTATCTATGATACACTGTAACAACTTGGTATTTTGGTGGGATATCGTATGCAGTTGGCATATCATCGTGCCTAATCAGCTCAGGGGATAGGGTTGTATAGATATGATCTTCAAACATGATATTGACATTTATGGGATTTTCGTTTCCACTTCCCTCACCACTTGATTCCCCGTCTCCACTCCCATCATTAAAAAGGTCACGTCGTTTTCGTCTGAGTTCTTGTTCACTTGTCTTTTGTCCTATGAAACCACCTGTGTTTCGCTCAATAATATCACGGCCTTCTGTTACATTAGCTGGTATAATTGGTAAACTATCAGATTGGTCCATATCAACTGGCAAAATTCTGATATCGTCTGATTCTTCAATTGGATCCAAAGTAACAATTTGATCGATGTCTTCATTTACAATAATTACAGATTCTGTTGTTACATCAATGTCATCTATTAGATCAATAATGGGGACATTTGCGTCGGTTGCAATGGTATCGTTTATATTTAAAACTACCCACGTTGATGTCACGCCCGAAGGTTTACTTGTGGATGTACGTTGAATATCATGCCTTGTGGGAGTCGTTTTGTTCAGCATCGTCAAAGGCTCTCTTTCGTCCTCAACTTTGACACGCACGGATGTATCATCTGACGTATTAACCAGGATACCTTGTGGTAGAAGAAGGGTTTGGCCATCATCTAAGTCCACCTTGAACTCAACAGGAGATCCATATGGGTAAACAATCTTCAGTTCGGCTGGATGGTCAGTTGACGTTCTTTCTGTCTCAGCCCATATGTCAATATATGTAAGGTTCTCACCAACCTGTATCAATTGGGAGACGTCAATAGAAGAAATGTTGTTTCCAATCGTGGCCCTGACTGTGTATATTCCATAATCCTCGTACATTCGGCTGTAAACTAAATCTTGTGACTCGCCTTTGATTTCACCAATTTTGACAGATTCAGATACGCCATTATCAAAATCAAAGCGACATTGAATAGGCATCGATGGGTTGACATGAAGATCAACTGAGAATATGAAATTTACTGGAGTTTCCAAATCCGTTACGTTATTCGCAACCATGACAACACTTTCGATTGGTCTTTCTATTGATACTCCATGTCTTGTTGTTGCCTCACTTATTGAATTAAAAACACGCATGGACACCTCGTAGTATCCTAGCCCTGAATAAGAATGTGTTCTGGTCATAACAACTGGATCACTCTGCTTTTCAAAGAACACATATTCAGACTCACCATCGCCGTAATCAAGTTCAATGTCCATATAGTCACCTTTTGCAACAATGAAAGTTAGAGTAATATCTTCACCAACTTCAGCATATGGAGGATTCGTGGTTATGTTGATACCGCTAATTGCTTCTTCAATGTTGAATACGTGTCTAAGTATTGTAGTGGCTTGACTCTTGACCAGAACTAAGTGTTTTCCGGTCTCTTTTATTGCCTCTGGTCCAATGGTTAGGCTACCATTTGCGATCGTATAAAAGGCTGGGTTTACAGTTGTTCCATCCAGGTGTATGTCTAACGTATTTATGTCCGTTGTAGAGCAACGAAGTGACATTTTAAAGGATTTTCCAAATGCGATATTGGAGTAATCTGTTTGATAGTTTCTTGCAATTGTTTGTAACGATTGTGTAGTGTTTCCATAGGAATTCCTACAGCCTAAATCAAGTTGGTAAACTCCCGGGGAAGAGTATCTTCTGTATGCTACCTTACTCAACAGACTGGATTCGGAAGTTCCAAAATCGATTTCATTGCCGTCTCCAAATCCAAACCTGCATGTAAAGTCTGAATCACTGAACGCATCAATGTTTACCAATTGAGATCTTGTCACGTTAGAATGACTAGTTGATATGTGAGCAAATCTTGGTCTTACATTCTCATCGACATCAGTGATTGTGACATCTATAGTTTTGGTCTCTTGGTGCTTCCTATTTCTAGCCTTGATAGTGACAATGTATGTCCCCTCTGTGTCCCACGTATGGCTTGTCTTAGGATCGTGAGTTGTCTTAACGACCCCATCACCAAAGTTAACATGGTAAATTGTTTTCTCATCAGTATCTGTGATGAGGTTGAATTGGATGGTCTCACCTGGGCGAGTGTAACCTTTATCAGTTGGTAGGATAACTTCTACTTTAAGGTTGATTGCATAATCTAAATCCCCAACGATGTGCGTTGTTGCATAAACATTCCAGTCGTTTTCCTTGCACTCTTGATGAATGGAAATAGATTTTTTATCCGAACATCCACACGAGGAACCTCTCAAAACTGCTGTGTTGTTCTTTGGTTGGCAGTATGTGCGACAGGATGCAAGGGCACCTTCATCATTCGGAATAATAACTTCATCTCCAGGAGTATCATCCGTACATCCAAGAAGATAATCTGTTGGTGCTGTAATTACAAATGAGATAATATATATGCGCTAATCACCACCTAGAATGTAAAAAATGTACGAACAGTATTAAGATGTAATGATTAAATAAAAAGCACAACGGTGCGTTTTGGAACATCGAAATGTTCTTTGTTGATTTGAGCAAGAATGGATGGAAACTGAGGAAATGCATTTACTGCAAAATGTGATATGCAACTACTGAACTATTGAATAAAAAGAACAATATTGTGGCGTGTTACAATGCAAGTGTCGCCTCTGAAGGACAAAAACATTCCTGATAAGTTCTCACACGACCTCACACTCGACATCAAATCTTAGATCGCATTGTGTTAATTATTCATGTATTGCTAAGGATAGTATAATACTTTTAATTACATATTACTATGTCTTATGCCCACTTTTAATTAGTAGTGCATGTAATAGAAATAATTAATGCCATTATTTGAATAATCGTTATATAATCACTCTTTATTCATATATGTATATAACACGATGTCTTAAAGGTTGCATGTGCCTAACAAAATTGCTGATATTGACGGCCTGACAAAACACATATTCTGAACAAGTGAACAATCCATCAAAGTCATACATTTCATTGGTCATTATAAACAGATGGGAATTTTTATTTGAACTTACCAGTCTTATAATTTAAAGATAAGATACTTGGTTTATATAAATATTGTCGCATGACTTATGTTAAGCGCAGGCAATCTTTAAACGGTGAATGTTCAAAAGATGGAAGTACTTTGAACTGTTTATAAACGATTCATCCTTTGAAATACCTGTGATATTCATGACTTGCTCTTGGTCCATAGCAACATCTACGTGCATCAAATCTCTGATATGTATGGCAACAGTTCCTGGACTCGTCCGAAGTTTATCACTTGCCTTCCCCACCACCAGCCTTGGGAATGGATCGATGTCACCATATTGGACGAAGAATCTGTCTTTGCCTTTGATGTCACAAGCAACGCGAAAGCCATCTACGTAGAGACAGAGACCATCTGGTGATTTCCAAGTCAATGTCAAGTGCGTCCATTCATCAAATCCTAGTTTGAATTCAATGTTCCATTCTCTACCCGCAACAGAAGTTCCAATTTGGAACTCTTTGCCGTGCATTAGGCGGAGGTAGAAGCCTTCAGACAGGGAAGATTGACCACCGTTTGATACGATGTATCGCTCCGCGTTGTTGGTGTCTCCATAGAGTGGTTTGTACCACAGTGACACTGTGAAACCATGGGGACACTTGTGTATGTTACCAAGACATACGTGGGGAAATGAACCAAGGTCAACAGATTGATCAGTCCCTAGCTGCCATTCCGTTCTCTCCACCACAGCTCCTACAAAAATAATACATTTTCGCTTTTTACATTTGATATTATAACAGTTTTCATTCTTGATTTTTATGATATTCCAGTTTCATGGACTGTTGTTAGAGGATTGTCAGTTACAAGTCTTACAGGCTTTTTGGGCATATTTTAAAAATGATCTTTGAAAAATGGGCCTCAATTTTTGAAAAATGGACCCACGTTGTTCTCAAAAACTTGGCAATCAGCATATCAATTTCTGGGTTCGCCTCATCTTTTAGGGACATGATCATGTCGCACAAAAGTATGTACAAAGATGTCCAAAGCTTTAGTATTATTTTGGTAAAATGCTAAATTCTTTTCTTGTTTCAAAGTTGTCCTTTCCACAGATCTTTCTCAATATCTGCAAACGTTTTTTAACAAGGCAAGGCTAACATTCAAATAGTGAGATATATTATGGTGTAACGAAATCAATTTCATTTCGTTTGACCAACCCTCTCCATCATCATCAACATGATGGAATCTGACGGCAAATGATATTTAAAGTGCTAATTGATATCAACCGTACGGTTTTCTTAATGCTGTTCCTTCTCGTACACTGACTCTTGGGAATCTTCTTCGAAAATGTGATATCGAAAATTAAAGAAAGATTTACTCTGGTGATGATCACGTGGTACACTACACTTACCTTCAATTAATGAAAATACCAAAATTAATCCTAAAAGGGCGACATTTAGACTTGAGCCTCTGCAATAGGTAGTTACCCGACCTCGAGGCATCGTCCAATCTTTTGAAGTAAGAATGCAACGGTCATCAGTGTCTGAGAATTGGTAATGAATAATAGATTTGACGTTAATTAGATTGGATGATGTAAGCTGCTGACAATTGCAAAAGGTTGATAACGGGAATCAATTATTCAGTATATGAAATTTTATGTAATTAAGAATGATTCAGGTAAAATATTTTTATGAGAAATTCTTGAATAACGTATTGACGTATTGGATGGACAGTGTTTTGACAGTGCCTGATGCATCTGTTTTTAACGTGCGAGGTTGTTGAAATGGTAATTGTAAAGATTCAAATTGTAATTGTTTCATGTGTCAATTTGTATTTTTGAAATTATGAAGAATGCAAGACATTGAAAAGCAGGATATTAATGGGCGAAAGCACGATCTAAAATTAGGCAATGGAAAAACTGAATTGTAGGCCAGGCAAATAAAGGAGGTATTTTACCACATAAGGACTTCATTTCCACAGTTCGTTGCGAAAAATGTCTGAAGAATTTTGTGAGACAATTGCCTCGCCTTCCGCATACCTGACTACGCTTTTAATTTGCTATTGAAAGAAATTGGAAATAAGAAAGATAAATGATAGGGAGAATTTACAAAATCGAACAATGTCTGGCACAGTTAAGGGGTTGCACACTAGTCTTGCCTTAAGACTGTGTGCCCCTCTCTGTACGTCACCTTCCCAACACAACAATGAAATGTGAAGTAAATAAGGGGGGTATACCGGGGGGTATACAGTCTTGAGGTAAGTCTAGCTGCACAATTGTTAAGTATAAAAAGGTAGACTGTGTTTTGAAACTGTTTTCCATTTGTCAAAAACAACTTATTTTTCTTCCTGTAGTATTTTATAATAGATGGTACATTATAATACAAAAACAACTTGTTTGTCTTTCATCAAAAATTGGCATTTATTCAATCATAAAGTTTGATTGGATTGGCAACATTTAAACTTTCATGTACAAAAATAAGTTTTTTAATAATAGATAAGTGGCATGGCATGTATAGTTTTGTAATTATAGCTCTGTATGCTTTATCCCACCCACGATCTTTGTCTCGGTGGGTTGCCTCTTCAGTGTTGTCCTATGCAGGCCCTCAGGATGATATTGATTGAAAATATTGTCACAATTAGCTTCCTTGCTAATAACGAAAATAACGTTGGATGATTCGTAATATGTATAATTATCTAGATCCAAGTCGAAAATGTCTTTATCTTTGGATGAGGGTATGGTATGGCATGGACCATTATCCTTATGGAGAGGTACATGGGCAAAGTAAGATTTGTCCGCTCTTAATATTTCTGGCTTGATACTTGTTATCTGGTTCTGGGAACATACCGTATCGTTTACCTCTCCTGGGATAAGTATGTCCTTTGTACATATTCTATTCAAGAGTTCAGAAGTTTTCTCGATTTTGAATTTTTCGGTAGGATGTCGACACTCAAGGTCAGTTTTGTTTTTGAGGATGCTTTTACGACAATTTTTCAACATTGTGCCGGATGGATCTTCTATCGTTAATGTCGTCTGCCTTTCCAAAACGCCATCTATAGGGCATGTGATGTTATTAAAGTTATCTTGTTTACTTATTTCTTTTTTGTTGGCGTGAAGCCCGCGTCTGACTTTCTTAACAAGACTGAACAACCTACCCACTCGGTTGGCTCGCCTCTTCTGCTTTACAACCTTTTGGTTATTTCCCGGCTCAAGATCTTCTGAACTTGATTCGGGTTTAACATCTTTAACTGAATTTGACTCAGCTTCAGGCTTGATGAGTTCTTGTAATGTTGCAACTGTAGATGTTCTATTCAGTTTCGCCTGTGAAAGTCGATGGATCGTTTTTGGCTTACATTCCACGAAAATATTTGCAAGATTGGCATGTGACTGTACCTCTTGTTTCAACTGCAGTTGTGCCATATTGTCGTCTTATAGCTGTAGTTCGAATGTTTGCAATATATTCCTACAGCTGTAGCTACAATGTTTGCAATATATTCCTATAGCTGTAGTTATAATGTTTGCAATATATTCATATAGCTGTAGCTACAATGTTTGCAATATATTCCTATAACTGTAGTTACAATGTTTTCAATATATTCCTATAGCTGTAGTTACAATTTTTGCAATATATTCCTATAGCTGTAGTTACAATGTTTGCAATATATTCCTATAGCTGTAGTTACAATGTTTGGAATATATTCCTATAGCTGTAGTTACAATGTTTGCAATATATTCCTATAGCTGTAGTTACAATGTCTGCGATATATTCCTATAGCTGTAGTTACAATGTTTAGAATATATTCCTATAGCTGTAGTTACAATGTTTGCAATATATTCCTATAGCTGTAGTTACAATGTCTGCGATATATTTGTATAGCTGTAGTTACTATGTCTGCGATATATTCTAGCCGTGGTTGCAATGTTCGCGATATCTTCTTATAGCTGTGGTTAAAATGTCTGCGATATCTTATTCTAGCTGTAGTTACAATGTCTACGATATCTTTTCCACCGTATGGCTCTTTATGTTCAGTTTTTACGTATAGGTGTCGCTTCTCAAGAATGTATTTGAAGAGCTCTTGTTTGTTGAATTATCAATGGTTGTGTCTGAATGACTGATGGAAATTGGTGCTTGGCACCTTTTATATTAATTCTTACCAGTGACACTTTCCGGGCGTTTGTCAATAACCATTGTTTGTCATTTTTTCAGCTCAGAAACAGCATAATTTAATCCTCATGTTGATTATCAGGGTTCCATCCTTTCATCCCGGAAAGTAATGATACAATACGACCCGTGTTTAAGGATTATCATATGGAAAAAACACAAAATATAGTTTGCAAACATAAAGTTTGCCGATGTTTAGTGTTTGAATGTTTGCGGTAATAGGTAAATACATGTGGTTTTAACAACAAACATTCTGATTCAAGTACTTATTCTCAATGCTACACGTACACATACTTGTATTGACTATGAGGGGAATATCAATTTTTCCCAAAATGGTTATTTTAAAACGCAAACGTTTCAATAATTGAAATAAACTACTTTAAGTTGTCAGTTGAATTGGAATCACACAATCAAGGAACAATGAAGAACCTAACGGGTGATTGTGTTTATATATTTGAAATTTGAATGTAGTAGTTTGCTTTTTGATTTGTTTTGTTTTGATTTTTCCATGGGCTTTCAATTAGATTTACATAATTATCGACACCAGTAGGGTTCTTTGTCTAGCCCAATGAGTACGGTATATGAATTTGACTGTTCCTAGTTCAGCTCCAATATTACTAGTTGGGTGACTAAAGTACATATAGACTTCAGTGTGTAAAATTACGGGTGGATGGGACAGATAATTGTACACTACCCTTAATGAGTTTGGGGACTGGGTGTATACCTTGGATGGTCACTTATCAAAGGCTGTATATGTCTTGCGATTTAAAGAAATTCACAATTTACAAAATCCAATATATTGTATATCCGAAATTAAAATTAAAATTCAAGTACTGACAGGCTTTGATATGCTATTCAAAGGAAGACTTCATGTTGCCAATTTATGCAGGGGAGGGGTCTAGTATTGAGAACAACTTAGCAAACATAAAAGTGAAACATATTTTATATAAACAACTCTTTATTTACTAACAGACAAGTGTACATATGTACAACTATGTTTTTTTAAGTACTGTTTAAAAGGTTTGTACATTATCAGATGCAATCAATGTTCTTCAACATCAGGAGTCGAAATCAATCAAGTCTCAAAAGATAATATTGATTTAATCTATAGCATATTATCAGCAGTAATACCAAACTGTCCAACTATATCAATATATTGTTCACGCATGATTGTGTCCATGAGCATCTTCAGCAATGGTAATTTTAACAAACTCAATGGAAAAAGTAAGACACCATTGTGAACTATGGCCGAGACATCTCCACATCATGTGTTCAATTGTATTTTTCCTGTCCCTCTTTCATGGTATCGATGATGAAGTTGAAAAATCTTGTCCACAATTCTGTGTGCTTAGCTGTGAAGGAATCTCCCATCTTCTCTTTCATCAACTCACGTGTGGATTCACCCAAGAACTGGAACGCAACAAAAGTGTAATCAGTACAAGTTTAGATGCAACCACATACAATCTAATGGATTTGGACTCGAGGAAGTAATATCATTGTGCTGTTTTAAGGATACGTCTGCTGGCAAACCTGATATTGGACTGAAATGTTATTGAATCTTGAATCAAAAAGTTTTCATACTTCAATTGACATAGTTAAGCTCGACCTAAGATGCCAGACATCGAATTTACTGAAAAGTATCGCCTTTCCCGTGTCCTCGCCATCTTAGGTTTCGCTTATATTAGTTCAACTTCATTTTTGTTCAACTTATGATGTGATATTACAAGTTATTACAATATTTGTTTTATTATAAGCCAATTAAATAAAATGCATCCTTCAAATAACTTACAGGGAAGAAGTTACTTGGGATGTTGTAGCCATTGGTTCCGTGTCTACCACCGAGCGAGAGAAGAGCTGGAACGACGCTCTCTAGGCTATCAAGATCATCGACAACTTTGCCAATCATCTTCGACACCATGGTGATATGAAGCATGAGACGGGAGCTGTCTTGCATCTGCCCCTCGGCTGCGGTAGAGGCGAATGAGAACACGGACTGGGTCTCTGGATTGTTCTGGAACATCCTAAAGCACAATTGTAAGTATTTTAGAGAAAAGCATAAAACGCTTTAAGCATATCCAAATTTAGAATAGTGATTGTCTTATCAAATTGCTACGTTCAGAAATGCAATAGAAAATAGGAAATATAAAATTAAACTAAGTTATAAATTGGAAAAAAATCTTATCTGAAAAATAGCAATCATAAGTCGCAACACTAAAACGTTCTTGCATCAACTCTCATAATTGGACTATTTCCAAACGCAGAGGTGTATATACCATTGATGTTGCTCTGGGGCTTGGCGCAAGACTACTAATATTTAATCGTCCCTCACCTGTAGAACATGTCAAGTCCAGCCTGTGTAGGATTGGCGCCCATGAAAGTTGTCCATGTCAGTCTCAGCATTTGCTTCTCGTTGACACTGAGAGCCAGTTTTTCGCTCTTGTTCTGATAGCGTACTCTCTCGTACAACCTACAACACATCAGGGGTGAGGCATTTACTTAAGTGGGGGACAAAAATAAATCTCAACCCTCAAAAGTTGTCACAATGAGCTAAATTCTAAGTTTCATGTCTCAAACTCTCCCAAGTGGTAGAAAAATAATTCCCATCCACTTTAAGTAGCACAATAAATGAATCCAAAGCCTCATACCTGCAAATGATGGATAAATCCCTACCAAATCGGAATAATGTTTTCATGAATCGCCATGTTTGTGATCCAAGGAGGATTGACTCCCAGAATGCAACATCAAGTAACCTTATTTATGCGTGACGTATTTCAAAACGGCGGAATGGCATTTTGAAAGCTGACACGTGTCATGTTGCATTCTGGGAGCCAACCCACATTGCGGCGTAATCTGGCTCCAAAATCACCTCAACATTTGAAGAGTCGGCATTAACATGTGAATTCCACATCAAATTTTTAAGTTCTTATTTGTCATTATGGACACAAATTCCACTATATCTGGACTTACTATGACGGAGAAAATAGAGCACTGAATACACTGAGGTAAGAATTTATTACATATGCGACAACATGTAATTTCCATAGGTTTTGTAATTCTTTATGCCCCCCACTTTATGTGTGTCTCAGTAGTAGGATGAAAAAACTGTGGAGTAGTGTGACACAATTTGCCTTTTTCATAAATAAATCTAAAGTAGAAAAGGGAAACCAAGAGGAGGGAAAACCCCATGATTCAATTGATGACATATGATTTCCTCCTTCGCACTCCTTTCCCGGAAGCACGTATATTTATACTTCCCTCCATCTTGGTTTTCAAAGTTTTCAAATTGACCTAGTTTTAAACCAATCAACGATCGACTCGCTAAACCAATCAGCGACGATGTCATCTCAATTACAGATTTACATTTTAAAGTGTGCGCCTGACCCGGCTACGTATAGCACAGAGTTTATACTGGCGGATTAGACTAGTTCATTTTTTATATCTGTGTGAAAGCTTTCTCTTATTTGCGTTTTTCGTTTAGTACGGTTTTGTTATAATTGCCGAGGTTATATAACCGGGATAAAACAATGATTATCGTTGACTGCCCACACACAAAACATACGTTGAGTGAACAGTGTTATTACAAACAACAGGCTTTAGAATACAAAGCGTAGTGTGATAATAAGCTGCACACTACCACTGCTGCATGTACATATTACTAATTTACTAGGGCTCCCAAAGAGTGGATAGGGAGGTTGTGTTTGTCACTTTTAAATTTTACATTTCAAAATTGTCATTTTACATGTCATAATTTGTTGGTTTCATTCGTTTAGCCAATCAAAACATTGTAAAACAATAAATTGTCTGTTACGTACAATCAATTCTGTTCAGTTTTGATTAGTTGTCAGAATAAAGTTACGTTCATCTGAATCCATGTATCAAAACAAAAATCCTATTTTCACTTCAAAATACTTCAGTGAGATGAAGGCTCGGAATTGTCACATGCAATAACTTATTGTCGTATTCGTTATATCATCTTCTCGATAGTAGCATTTAGTCGCACATTTGATGCCGGGTCACCTTGTCGCGTACCTCTTGGGGAACCCCACATTTATGTGTGTACTCATGGAAGTAAATTCCCCGGTGTAGCCGAGAGCCACAAACTTTTCAACAGGTTCGAAATGACCAATTTCTCTAATATATACTCTAAATATTTTATTATTTAGCACCTACAAAGTATTGCTAATAACCATATGTAATTTCAATAAGGAAACTTATCTGGCTACATATAAATTCAATATCAACACTAGCTGTTCTCTCAACACTTCCTGGCTTACCTTGTGGTGACAAACCCTGGGTTTTCGCTATTTATAGTTTATCAACACCTGGACGCATGCGCATTTTATACTTTATCGGGCACTTTAAGCGTATGTCATCTTTGATCCCTGGGGTTTCTTCCCCTCTTTGGAAAACCAATGTATTTTTCAAAGTAAAATTGTTGGTGAGACGTTTTTGAGACGTTTTGTTTGATCTAGATTGCCACATCCTTCTGCGCGTGCGCGGCATCTTATTCAGCTAGTACTATACAATTTCACTGATGAAGCATGCAACGTAACTATGAACGACAGTTAAACAAATGCAAAATTGAAGAGATGATATAAGTACAGAAAACCTGAGAATATTGTATTATACACTTAAATCCCACGCCTATTTTCTGCCTATGGTACATTCAAAGTTATAAAAAATAATGAGATAGAAGTTCCATGGTTATCATTCCTAAAAGCTACTTACTCACAAATCATGGTTTCTGATACTTTTCCAAGATCCTGAAAGTATAAAAATATAGAAATGTATTTAAATCTTCACATTATCCGAGGCATTATTTTCAATTGTAGTGTTACTGTTATTTTGAGAACCAGTCGAAGAATGCATTGATGTATGTAGCTCAACAAATTACGAAAACAAACATTTAAAACGTTTTGATGGAAAGCTTTTAAACATTTTATTGTAT